TTACCAAAACTCACAGTAACAAAAAAGAAAAAAATCTTCTGCCTTACAGAAAAAACATTATCATTAAATTCAGTATAAATCTACTCATATTTAATATGAAAATCTTTTTAAATAAAAACTTCATAACAAAACAATGAAAAATTCCAAAAAACATTTGCAGGAATTAAAAGAATTAGTGCTGAAAGGGGTGTTTTTCCACAGAGGATCCAGTATCTGTCAAAAAAAAAAACTGTTGGAGTTACATGGGAGCCAATGCAAATAATATAAGAGCCAAAACAAACATGACTTAAGAGCCAAAAAGTAAACCTAAAAGCTGTATTTTTTTTGGTGGTCATTTAAAAATGACAATTTTAAAAACTTAGTAAGGTGGTTTATCACCTAATAAACTTTAATTAAAGGTTAAACTAATTAACAAATAACAGAGTGGCCAGCCTAAAGTTAATTCAAAATTCTATGATATTTTCAGGACTTTTCTAATGAAACTCAAGTTTTTTCAAAAAAAAGTTGAACTTTCTCTAACCAGATAAAAACAAAATATGTTGATTTGAAAAAATAAAAAATAGAAAAATTATTAAATAGTATGTAATTGATAATAATACTGACATAAAACATAATAATACATAACATAAAACTATCTTGTTGTTCTTGTTCGATAACAGAAAATACATAATTATAAAACTCAGTTATAATCTACTCAAAATTAATAATAACTCTCCAAAGGATAAATAACATCAAAAAAAAATTAACTATATGAACCATATGAACTAATTAACTATTTCAAAAAAGCCGATACACGTAACATGGGAGCCAAAAATAGGTTACTTAAGAGCTAATAAGTTACATATGAACTGTATTTGTTTTAATCCTGATACCAAAATTAAAATTCAAATAATATCAGAAAGAATAATAAAATTTAAGTGCAACTAAATAACTAATAAAAGGGTGGCAAGCCAAAAGCGTATTCAAATCGTTAGGATAGCTTCAGGACATCTTGAAAATAACTTTGGGTTATTCATGGATATACTAATAAATTCTCAACAAAAAAACAAAACAAAATGAATTGATTTGAAAAAAATATGAAAATGAAGAAAAAACAAAATAATTAACAAATTTTAACAAAACTCACAGTATCATGAATTGAAAAATTCTTCTTTATTAAAGAAAAAACATTTTAATTAAATTCAGTATAAATCTATTCAAATTTAGTATAAAAGTCTTTTAAAATAAAAACATCATAACAAAATACTGAAATTGTTTTATTATGAAGTTTTTATTTAAAAAGATTTTCATAATAAATATGAGTAGATTTATACTGAATTTAATGATAATGTTTTTTCTATAAGGCAGAAGATTTTTTTCTTTTTTGTTACTGTGAGTTTTGGTAAAATCTGTTAATTATTTTGTTTTTTCTTCATTTTCATACTTTTTTGAAATCAATACATTTTGAAAAAAATATGAAAATAAAGAAAAAACAAAGTAATTAATAAGATTTAACAAAATTCACAGTTTAATGAATTTAAAAAATCTCCTGCATTATATAAAATATATATTTATTAAATTTATTATAAATCTACTTAAATTTAATATAAAAATCTTTTTAAAATAAAAACATAACAAAATAATTTTATGACTTAACAGAACCAGTGCTGAAAAGGGTGTCTTACCTCACTGTATATCTTACAAAATAAAATTAGTTAGAGTTACAGGAGAGCTAATGCAAATAATATAAGAGCCAAAAAAAATATGATTTAAGAGTCAAAGAGTAAACCTAGAAGCTGTATTTTATTAGTGGTCATACTAAAAAGATTTCTTTAAGAACTTCATAAGGTGGTTTACCACCTTATAAATTTTAATCAGAGGTTAAACTAATTTACAAATAACAGGGTGGTTAACCTAAAGTTAATTGAAAATTCCATGATATTTTTAGGACTTTTCAAATGAAACATAGGATTTTTTAAGGAAATGTAGATCTATTCTAGACCAAATAAAAACAAAATATGTTGAGTTGAAAAAACAATAAACCAAAAAATTATTAAATAATATGTAACTGATAATAATACTGACATAAAACATAATAATACATAACTTAAAACTATCTTGTTGTTCTTGTTTAATAACAGAAAATACATAATTAAAAAAATTAGTAAAAATCTACTCAAAATTAATAATATCTCTGCAAAGGATAAATAACATCAAAAATAATAAACTATATTATTTATAAGAACTAATAAACTATTTTAAAAAAGCCGAAACAAGTAACATGGGAGCAAAAAATAGGCTACTTAAGAGCTAATGAGTAACTAATGAGCCAAAAAGAAAACTTGAAGAATTTCATAAAGACTTATAAATTTTAATTTTAACTAAATAACTATTAACAGAGTTGCAAGCTAAAAGCCAATTTAAAATTATAGGATAGTTCCAGGACATTTTGAAAATAACTTTGGGTTATTCATGGATATATTGTCAATTTCTTAACAAAAAACAAAACAAAACAAATTGTGTTAATTTTAAAAAATATTAAAATGAAGAAAAAACTAAATAACTAACAGATTTTAACTAAACTGACAATAACATAAAATAAAAATATCTCACGCATTACAGAAAATACTTATTGTTAAATTCTGTAAAAATCTACTCAAATTTAATATAAAGTCTTTTTTTAAAAAAAAAACATCATAAAAAAATAATGAAATATTTCAAAAAAGAATTGGAGGATCTAAAAGAATAAGGACTGAAAGGGGTGTTTTTCCACAGCGTAATTAGTATCAATCAAATTAAAAACATTTGGAATTACATGGGAGCTAATGTAAATAATAATAGCAGAAAAAAACAAGCTATATGACTGAAAGTATAAACGTAGAGGCTGTATTTTTTTTTGGTGGTCATACAAAAATGACATTTTTAAGAACTTCATAAGGTGGTTTACCACCTTATGAATTATAATTAGAGGTTAAAGTAATTTACAAATAACAAAGTGGCCAGCCTAAAGTTAATTTAAAATTCCATGATATTTTCAGAACTTTACAAATAAAACGCAAGACTATTTAACAAAATGTAGATCTTTTCCTGACCAGATAAAAACAAAATATGATGATTTGAAAAAATAATAAATAGAAAAATTATTAAATAATATGTATTTGATATTAATACTGATATTAAAATATAATAATACATAACATAAATTTATCTTGATGTTTTTTGATAACAGAAAATAATTAATTGCAAAACTCAGTAATAATCTACTCAAAATTAATAATAACTCTGCAATAGATAAATAACATCAAAAATAATAAACTTTATGAACCATATGAACTAATGAATTATTTTAAAAAAATTTGATATGTGTAACATGGGAGCCAAAAATAGGTTACTTAAGAGCTAATGAGTTACTTATGAGCTGTATTTGTTTTGATGCTGACACTAAAAATCGAAAATTAAAGAATTTTATAAGGACTTATAAATTTTAAGTTTATCTAAATAACTAATAACAGGGTGGCATGCTAAAAGCCAATTCAAAATAATAGGATAGTTCCAGGACATTAGAAAGTAACTTTGGGTTATTTATGGATATATTGATAATTTTTCAAAAAAAAATTAAATTGTGTTGATTTGAAAAAATTATATAAAAATGAAGAAAAAACTAAATAATCAACAGACTTTAACAAAACTTACAGTAACATAAATTGAAAAATCTTTTGCATTACAAAAATACATTATTATTAAATTAACAATAAATCTAATCAAATTTAATATAAAAATCTTATAAAAAAAAACACATCATAACAAAATAATGAAATAATTCAAAAAAGATTTGCAGGATTTTAAAGAATTAGTGCTGAAAGGGGTGTTTTTATACAGCGTATCCAGTATCTATCAATTTAAAAACAATTGGAGTTACATGGAAGCCAATGCAAATAATATAAGAGCCAAAACAAATATGGTTTGAGCCAATAAGTTATTTTGAAGCTGTTTTTTTTTTTAATGCTTATGCAAAAATGTTATTTTTAAGAACTTCATATGGTGTTAAAATTAGAGATTAAACTAAATAACAAATAATAGAGTGGCCAGCCTAAAGCTAATTTAAAATTCATGATATTATCAGGACTTTTTAATTAAAAATTAAGGAAATATCTTCAAGAAATATTGATCTTTTTATCACTATAAGCCAACAAAATATGATAGTATAAAAAAAAAATTAGAAAAATAACTAAATAATATGTAAATAATAATATCTATATATATTAATATATAAAAATAACTAAAATAAAATGTTAATAATAATAACTAAATAACATGTAAATAACTCTGACATAAAATTATGTTTTTTTGTTTGTTTTTTTTTTCATTAAAGGAAATACATATATATAAAATTCAGTATTATTCTACTCAAAATAAATAATAACTCTGCAAAAGGTAATAAACATCAAAAAGAAATAATGAAATATATGAACCATATGAAATAATAAACTATTTTAAAAAAAGTAAGAGCCGATGCTCATAATGTGGAAGCTAAAAATAGGTTACTTTAGAGCTAATGATTAACTTAGGAGTTGTATTTCTTTACATTTTTTGCCTTTCTTTACCTGACTTTTTTTTTTTACCTGACTTTTTTTTTTACCTGACTTTTTTTTTTGAAAATATTTTGTTGAAACTATGATTAATTCTATAACTAGTAATAAATATAGATGTTACTACGAATACTGAATATGTTGCTTAAGGTTATTTACAAGCAAAGATTCATTTTTTGTAATTAAAAACTCTACCATCTAGGGGTGTGGGGTAGAATTTCCTAGAAACACAATTTAATTTGTAAAATATTTATACAAATTTAATGTTTAGTTGAGCTTAAATGCACTTAACAAAATAAAAATAAAAACATCAGACACATTTAAAAAATAAATGATAAAAAAAAATCAATTGAAAAAATTTTAAAATACATTTTATAGTACATATATTATATATTATATCATATAACACCAAATAATTTATTTGGTACTTACATTGAAGATTTGGATTTCAAAAAAAAAGTATTGTAAACAAATTTCTAAAGCAGTGTGGATAAAAGCATATACTTTGCGAGAAACAGGAAGTTGGCAATCAAAAACATAAAATAAAGATGGTTTAAGTTTTTTAGTTTATTTTTATTTTATATGTATTGTTCAGTATCTATTTAGCAGTGGCGGATTTAGTATAGGGCGTGGGGGGGCGAGCTGCCCCCTTTCCACGCCCCCCTAAAACGGTCTAACGGCGCCCCCTAAAACAATTACTGAAGGCAACCCCGGTCGCCCCTATTTATTGACTTGGCCCCCTCGCGACACTAAACCTCAATCCGCCACTGCTTTTTAGGGGGTGGATTTACCCTATTCTACCCTACGTGACCAAACCAAAATACTCAGTTAATTTATCTACATGTTGATTGAACAATCATCTGCGTCTATCCCTTACTTAGTCGATGTGTATTTTTTGACTTTATATGGTCCAAGCGCAGAACTTTATTTAGTTGGTGCACAAAGGTGTGCACCAACAAAAAAAACAACCTTTGTGCATTAACTAAAAAAAAAAACATTAAAAATTTAACATTGAAAAACAAACCTGGAATCTTTGGTTTACAAGCTTGAAGCGGAATCCACCTGACCATGCTAACATTGCTAGATTTATTGCATAGCTAGAAACTTATATTTATAAAATAACTTTTTTGTATGTATATATCGGAAGAATAGCTATTAAAGATTGGGATCATGTTTAGTATGTTGTTAATTTATTAATTTGTTTTTACCTTAACAGGTTAAACACAGAATCGGAGGCTCCAAATATAATGCGCGGACTACCACACCGCAGACAATTGAATGTGATTGAGTATATAATAAATTCAATACAGTATTTAATAAATTCAAATATCTAATATCTTTAAATAAGTTTTTAAGTTTTTGCTCAAGTCAGTTTAAGCTTGGAAGTATAAAACATATTTATAAGAAAGTATAAAACATGGTGTATGCCAGTTAATATTTTTCCATTTCTTCAATTTCGGACTCGATTGAAGCCCGTTGGAAAACTGTAAATTACCGATAAGTAACGCTACCCATAAATAACTGCCTATAATAAAATCACTGATCTCAAAATAATAACTATTATTTTGAGATTAGTGTAATAAAATACTCATAAATAAAATGGAAAACTCTAGTCGAATGGCTGACACAAATAATAAGGAAGAAGCTCCAATTGTTATTTAGTCTCTATACTTTAAGTTAAAGTAAATTACTCATTTGATGTTAATGGAATATGTGAAGCGGAGAGTACACACATCAACTGATTTATTTACCCATAAGCGCAGTTGGTTTACTTACATTGACATAAGGTTTAGAAGTATTCATGCTCTTTTTTCAATGGATAAGTGGATTTCAGTGGAGTGGATTCGTGCATGATAAGCCATAACTTTAAAAAAAAGGGATAAGGTGGTGACAGTTTTTGAAAATAATCATAAATCGAGGGGTCTAATACAAGCTGAACAAACCCAAGAGGGTTTTAGCAGGGGCGGATCCATAGTGGGGAGATAAGGACAATCCCCTTTCTTCACTTACTTGATTTTTAAAAAAATGTAATTGTTTTCAGCCTATTATAAAAAAGCTTGCAATGCAATCAAAAATATTTAAACTTTAATGCAAAAATTACATTTTGCAAACTATAATTTAAAATGTTTTAAATTTATTGAAATACAGTTATTTAGCAAAGACTAGAAAGTTTAGTAGTTTAAATAAAAAATTTAACAACTTATATTACAAAATCTTCTTTACGATTTTCCGACTTCGCAAATCGCTCTCAACATTTCAATTGAATTTCGTTGTGCACATTAAATAATTTTTTAAATCTATGATAAAAAGTTAGTTGGTGTTAACAAAATTAGTTAGTTTTATGTAATTTATATCCGATGGAAATACATAAAAACCAAATAATATTTCAATCAACAAGTTTCGCTACTCTTTTACTGTTTGAATTACGTAGTTGTAATTTCAAAATCATTATTTAGTAACTTTATTCAAAACATGTTAAATATATTGATGACGTAAACATTTCATTCTGCTTAATAGAAAAAGAAATAAGATTATGGAGCATAAACTTATTTCTTTTTGATTTCAGATTTGCACCATTTAAATTGAAACAAATGAGTTAAAAAATGATTTTATTTATCAACTTTTTACCATTTTTTTTGTTTTAAATACCTATAGGATCTTAAAGGATTTTTTACTATGGAAGGCACTTAGATTTATATTGCACAACTACCAAGAACTTTAAAACAACTAAGAACTTTAAAAATTAGTTAGTAATAGTCTATAATGTAGTCTATGTTAGAAATAGTCTATAATGTAGAAAAGTATGGAGAAAAAATGACAAGTCAAAATAAAAGTGGAATTTATATCTATTTTTGGATTTATATCTATTTTATTCATTTTCGTAGATTTTGCGCCACATAGGTAACATAGTGTGAAAAAACATGATGTCATGATGCAAACTTTTACAGTCTAACAATATGTTATGCACAATATCATCGTTGGTAATATATGTCATGATCTCAGAGACATTCTTTGGCATTTCAATTTGCTGCCTAAAATCATTAAACTATTTTAGATACAAGGCCGTAGACAAATTTTTTACCCTCCTCAAATTGAGGGGGCTGTAAACTTTATAAGGTCATAAAAGCCGATCAACAAGAGGTTATTGAATCAAATTTGAAATTTGACGATGAATATAAATTAAGTTTAAGATTTTGAAAAAAATTAAAAATTTGAGTAATTGCCCTCCTGTTTGGGGCTGGGGGGGGGCTAAAGTTCTAGGGTTTTTGTTGTTCCCAGTCTCCAATCACCGCAATTTTTTGCACATTATCCTCATATATATATACAAACATACTTAAATATGGAGTTTTCTTCATGTTCCAAAGTTGCTAAGCTCAAACATCAAAAAAAGTTGTCTACGGCCTTGAGATAATAATAATGTAAATTACTTCTCAAAAACTAATTAGATGGGCTAAATAATAACAAGAAGATGGTATGCTAAGGTTATTTCAAATTATGGTTTTCATATTACCTACATTACAAAAATTTGTATTGATATCAACGAAATAGTAAACGAATGTCCATAAATCACCATGTTTATTATCTTTATGTAAAGGTAATTAAATTTTATCGACATCATTTTATCGACATCAAAAACATGCTGCAAGAATAGTATTTAATAAAGATAAATTTACTCATGCCGAACCTTTGCTAAAGCTTCTAAATGCACTAAATGTCTACAAAATTAACATTTACCAAAATTTGATATTCATGCTCAAATATAAACTCGGACTTGTCCCATTACATTTTTCAGAAGAATTTTTTAAATGCAATAGAAATAAATATGAAACTCGAGGAATAGGAAATTTTAAAGTACCATATAAAAAAACAAAACTATCATGTATCTCCATATCGTATCGCGGCCCTTACCTCTACAACAAACTAATAGCTAAAAATACTATAATTACAAAACTACTTAACCATAATTCTCTAAAAACACTTTTAAAAAAACTTGTTCTAAACTTAAACAATTTTACAAACGTATATTAAAACAAATAACTAAAAAACCCTAAAAAATCCACTTTAAAGCAAAGTAAATGTTAGATTTTATTTATATTTCGTACATGTCAATATACTAAGTATAACAAACCATGTAACTATATATTTATGTGTATCAAATACAGCTCTTTTCCGTTTTTTGTTTTTGATTATCTAGTAGCTTTTTATGTGTGACTCTTATGCCACCATGAGACTTTGACAAACTGAAATTTCTTAATAAATCAAGTATACAAAATATCGCAACTAAAAGCGGTTTCTTGATGACAAGACCAAAATGGTCTTCTGCAAGTTTCCCGCGTCTTTTAACAGTGTTACTTCTTTATATATATTATTATTTGTATTAAAAAAAGTTTTCTTATTATATGTACGGTATTTTTTTTATACAATGTAAACGAACTAGTTTATATTTATGATCACGTATTTGTAAAGCTTTGATAAAAGACAAAAAAAAAAAAAAAAAAAAAAAAAAAAAAACCCTTACATATATATATATATATATATATATATATATATATACTTTCACAATTTTTTACAAGCTTTTTCATATGCGCCTATTTAATAAGTTTATTTAATTTTATATATTTTGTATATATAAGTTCATTTAATTTTATATATGTTAATAAATAAAAAGTGATTTTGTAATTATATAAAAATGTAAATATGAAAAAAAATATGTATACATTTTTTTATATATTTACATAATTACATATGAAAAAGCTTGTAAAAAACTGCACAAGAAACTTCTGATTTACAAACAGAAGAGGAAGAACATCACACATAAAGCCGTTAAAAAAGGTTTATGATTTTATTGTTTTAGTTTTTTTATTTATCGGAATAAATTTAATGATTTTTTTAACTTTCAGTTTTCTTACTTTAGAATTGTTTGTATGATTATATTTTTTTAAACAACCTTTTGTCTTGTTTTATTTAGTTTCACTGGATTTCTTGCAGAGTTTGGTAAAAGAGAATTTAGTAAAGAGAATTCCATTAAACTTTTATTTTTAGAACAGTAACATATTTTTCTGCATTAATTAACTTTTTTTTATAATATATAAAAAAATGTCTAGTTTACTTTTTACAACTAAACTTTATTGTCAACTCAATTGGACCGGTTTTCGTCGTAAAGAAGGCAAAGATGACCTTAATTTCAAAAATAAAATTGGATTTAAAAAACTGCCGTGTAGGCGTGCACTTTAGAGTGAATTTATTTTTCTTTATGCTGGCATGTCATTTTAGCATGTCTTTCTGAAAATATAATGCCATTTGTTTTACAGATGATTTGTTGATGAACCTAATTTCTTAAATATACTGCATGAGCAAAACTTTGTAAATCCAAATAAATTATTTTTACAGAACAGGCGTAAAACAATTTGATTTAAAATTTTAGATTTGAGGTAATTTTTTGTTGATAATTAGTAAAAACTAATAAAGGGTTGCAAACTTGGGTTGGTGGGAAGTTTCCAGGAAATTAATAAATGTCCCCTCTTATGCACGCGGTCACGCGAGAGTATAACTTCACTTAAAAATTTTCCATTAAAGTTGCCAAAACTATCAATCAATAAAAA